ATTTGTAGAGAATTATTAAAAAAAATTTCCGAAACAAATTTTTGAAAAATTTTTCAAAAAGTTTTCGAAAAATATTTTGAAAATTTCGAAAAAATATTCCGATTACAATTTTTTTTTTAACTGGGTATAAATTGTAATTTTCAAAGTCACTCACTTCATCCCCTTTCATCCCCTATTCACTCTACCATATAAACAAAAACTGCTGCTGTACAAAAGATAAATTAACGAAATCTCACCGTCACTCCCCAACGATTTTTTTTTATTCCCGTTGATCGATAAGCCACCACCCTCGTATTTCAACTTTTTCTTAAACCACCCCTTCTTCTTACACCCTGAGCACGATGAATTTCAGGAAATCCCCAGTAGAAAGAAGAGGGGAGAGACAATTCTCATCTTCATCGGATGATATTTTTTGCAATGTTCAGGGGTAGTGACTATAAAACATTATAAGGAGGTGAAGGGGTGAAAGAAAACCCCTTCCAATCATTACAATCGGATTGCCACTGAACACTTACATCTGTAACATTGATTTCCCGTGAAATTACAGAAAATTACTTTCACTCTATTTTTACGAAAAAGGAAAAAAGAAAATGATTTCATTCACTCTCCATTTTTTATTATATTTCCACTTGAATACAATGATTTTTTTTCCATAATATGGAGGGGTGTGAAAAAATTAATTGAAAAATTGATGAAAAGTGTATAATCTCGGATGAGTGAAAAAAAATCAGGTGACTTTTCTCTGGTGGCCGAAGAGGGTGTGGGGATGGAAAACTATACGGGGACACCCAACCCCCGTGATTACGTAGACCGTCGTGGTACGTGCCGGCGCATAAAACATTACCCGTCTCGCATAAATTAAACCAAATTTCCCGGCGGATTTCCGTCGTATAATAACGTAAACGAAGAGCGGAGGAGAATACGTGTTTTACCTTAAATAGTACGTCTTTTGAATGATGTTTAACTGATAAAAAGTCTCATAAAATACGTTTTATGAAGATTATCGGTGGAGTTTGTTTGTAAAACAAACGATGAAACAATTGTTGTTGGCACAGAAAGCGTTACGAAAAGTCTTAGAATATCAAGTTTAAATTCATAGAAATATATTGAATTGATTTATGATGATTACAAAAATGAATCGATGTGGAGGAGTCAAAAAATTTCTGGAAGACTTTTCAGAAATTTTTTTTATGAAACAGAAAAAAAATCGGAAATCAAAACACTTTTATTTTTGAGAAAGCTTTTGAAAAATTTTTCAAAAATTTGAATAGGAAATTTTTTTTATAATTTAGATTGCGTATTTTTTGAGAACATTGAAAAATAAGAAAACAACAATATCATTTTTAAAAAATTATATTCGCAATTTCTAGAAAATTATAAAAAAAAAATTCCGAAACAAATTAAAAAAAAAAATTGCAAAACATTTCCCAAAAATATGTTTGTCTTGTTTCCTATTATTTTTTGTTAAAAAAAAAAAATTCTGAAACGTTTTCTAGAAATTTTTTGAAAATTTGGAAAAAATATTTCGATTACAATTTTTTTTACCCGGGAATCCCATTTCCAATAAAAAGAATGATAAATTTATCGCTAATATCGAGATAATGCCACTGCAATATTGATTTTGTAAAATATTTTTTCAATATATTTCATATGTGAAATTGTGGGGAAGATTGGTTTCGATTAGGTCAACCTGTGTGCCAACAACACGAAGAGGAAATCCACCGTCTGAGCTCAAACTCCGTCGCGACACACGAGAGTGGTTATTATACGATATAAGAGAGAAACGCTTGGGGCAATGTCGTGTAGAACCTAAGCGGAAGGAACGTAATTTCCAGCTTCGAATATGATGTTTTCTTTTTCTAACATTTTTTTTACTTTCCCAAGAAAAATGCAATTCACGAGAAAATTTCGTTTTCTCGAAAATTGAAAAGACCAACGATAACTTTAAACTCTGCAACTTTATATTTCACAGACTCCGTAATTCGAGGTGAATTCATCACGTTATCCAAGTTGTGGCTATTTCTTTCCCCGCACTTTGCCAAAAAAAATATTCTGAATGATGCGCACGGATAGAAAAAAAATGTGGAAAATTCAAGGAAATGAATCGGAAAGGTTGAATAATTTCCAAGTGTGAGTGACAATCACATCCGCCATTAAATGGATATGGAGACGAACGTAATTCTATGGAGGCGACGAACACTTCCTCCCGGATTGGAATTAACTCCCAAAACCTTCGAAATGCCTTTCCCTAGTAATGAACATATTGCAGTAAAATTGTACGATAATTACGCAAGATTAGGCGAGGGTTAATGGAACAATTGTGAATGCTTGGTTCGTTCTATTTTACCGCCAATTCAGTGGCATTTTCCCTGTGGATTTGTCCAATATCCTTCATTGATCCATGGGTTATTACACTCAGCACACATGATTGGAGATGAAAATATCATTTATTCCTCGGTTGAAAATTAGACGGAAATAATGGCATCCACCAAACTCAATTTTCCCCGTAAACTGTATAATTATGAAGGATTGTAATCAACAAATGATAGTTACCCCACTCTCCCGGAAACGAATTGTGGTAATGCATTTCAATTTCATCTTCATCCATTAGCCCAAGTTGTAGGTATCATTCAAAAAAATAATAATAATAAATGACTCGTCCTCTCACCTAGCAGCTAATAGAGTAGTTTTATCAAATGGAAAAATAAAGGGAATGTGAATATTTTGATAAATGGATAAAATAATTGTTGAAAATCTCCGCAGACTATTCCAAGAGCTTGGGCATTCAATGGATTTTATAATTCCGGATAATCCGGAGGATTCATTTAGAATCATCAAAAATATTCTCGACAATTAAGAGCCTTTGATTTGCATCGAAAGAAGTGAAGTACAATTAGTTGGAATTAGCGCGTATTTTCGCTTCATCGCTTCATTTTCCAGCTTCACCACCGATAATCCGATTCACCACCCCCGGACTGAACCCCCACCTCCATTTAGCCGCGGTAATCTTCCTCCTTTGGTTAACTTCTTTGCTCGTTTCGCGATTAACCTCCCCCGATGAAGAAAGAATGGCGAAATAAGAGAGAAGGCATCTCCAAGGATTTATCGAATTTTCACCTGAACGGATGTGCCGCGGAGGGAATTGTAAGGGTGTCAGGGGGATGGTTAACACCCGATGGGGAAAATTTTCCACCAACCAAAGCATTTCCAATGCCCATCACCCACCAGTGATGAAGAGAGACAATGGCTTGAATTATCCCTGGATTCTCTGCCTTCACTCTCCAACTGCTAGCCTTCCAACGATAAATTAAGCGACACCTGGATTTTAGAGTTGAATTATAATCGATGAATCATTCGATTCTATTAGGTTGAAATTCAATTCTGACGCTTTCCAATCTAAATTGTTCATCTAATGAATTTAAATTTCGCTGCAATTCGGGAGAAGTGATTTTAATAAAAGCCCCGGGATTTAGAGTTTCAGGGGTAATGGTTTTTCGAATTAATCAATGTGTTTGATTGGGGGATGATGTGATTAACGTGAAATCAAGGGATGATTGTTCTACTTGATTGAGGTGTACGCAATCATGGAGTCTGTTTCGAAGAGGCAAATGTGGGAACCCCAAAAATTATCCATATTTTGTATGACTTGAACAAAAGTTAAAAATTAAAAGCCACATCTCTTTGACCCTGCAGCTGAAAAAAACCGAGGGGGTGTGGGATGGTGGAAGCGGTGGTTGACATTATCCTTATGGGCATGATTAGTAGCCGCGATACCACCCAGGACGCCTGATGTATTCGCAACGCGTTATCTGTAAACGGCACGAGTCGCATTATGCCACACCCACCATCTCCCACCGCTACTCTACCTCGTCATACCATACCGCGATGTCATCTACCTTCAGGGAGACAGACAAAAGGTCTTTGTCACAGTTGAAAACTCACACTGACATATCACCGCAACCACCCGATAAAACAACTCCCCAATGCTTCTCACTAAAAAATGTCAGAAAACACCAAACCAATTCCCACTCAATGATCATGCAAAATCCATTAACAGCAAAAAAATGTCAGTGTGCTCACAATTTCATATCGTCAACTCTGCCATTCGCAGCTTTAAAAAACACTCCAACTGTTGACATAAAAAATTTTCGTCTCTCGTGTGAAATGAAAATGCTAAAGGCTGAATGATTTTGGGGATTCGGGTCGTGTGCAGAATTTATCCTGCAGAGGACAGATTTTTATCCGTCCCGTGTTTTCCTCATATTTTTTCAATAAAAACAACAGAGACATATCGTCATGCATATGGTGGTAATATGGTAGTAGTACTACTCATTAAAGCCTCCAGCTGAATCAGTACCAAAGACATTCGCCAACTCGACGCGACAGCAAATGTAGCTGATAATGAGAAATGAGTAATGAAGGGTGGAGGGTGATGTATCTGTGATAGAGTCTAGGTTGAAGTTTAGAGTATTAACCCGAGGAGATATGCCTACCTGAGTCACTTGGCACACCACCACCCACCCATCACCCCTTGCATCACCCCTTGCACCACCTCATCTTTCGTTTAATCCCACTCTAATGACGTACCGTTTTTAGCACGTAATACCAGCAGACAGAGCGGTAATGATTTCGCCCCGGAGCACGGATTCACCTCACTCGTCTATTTTTTTTTTCTTTCTCCTCTCCATCCTTCTCGGGCCTTTTATATTCTACCAACCAGGCCGTCTCACCCACCAGGTGCCATTTCATGGGGACGAGGATTAGTTACTTTTTATCCGACGACGTGTCTGGGAGACCACAAGCATCAGGGGGATGAAAAAAAATTGCCGAGGTAATCGGTGATGATACCCAGTGACCTGTATTATATAACAGCTTGTCTTCTTGGATTAGCTTGAGCGATAAAATAATTGTCATTCGGCTCAATGAATGATTTGAGGAGATGCATGCTTACCTTCATTTGGACAAATGTTTTAATTGGTGAAATATCTTTGTCATTTCAGAATCCAGCAAGGGAATTAAAGTGGAGCATCCTCCTGCTGACAACAGTATGCCTCATCACCACAGCCCAATCCAGCTTCTGTCCAACTGACTGCACCTGCGACGACGACAGCCTCGTTGTATCTTGCATTGGAGTTAGCTTAGACGTAATCCCAATTGCCCTTAATCCATCAACCCAGCGGATAGTTCTGAAGGAGAGTAGGATACGTATGGTTGATGCAGCTGCATTTCAATTTTACGGCGATCTAAAAATCGTTGATCTATCGAGTAATCATCTCGTAACAATACCAGACGCCAGTTTTGCAGCCCAAAAGAATCTTGTTGAGTTGCACCTGAGGCACAACAAGATATCATTATTATCCGAAAAGACATTTCAGGGATTAGTATCTCTGAAGGTGTTGAATCTCCGTGACAACTACTTGGAGACTCTGTCAAATGGACTATTTACTTCTCTAACAAGACTAGAGGAACTAGATCTGGGTCAGAATAGAATAGGCAAGGTTGAATCTGGTGCATTTCAAAAGCTTGCCTCACTGAGAGTACTCTATCTTGATGACAATCAGCTCAAGTCCATCCCATCACCAGCATTAGCACCCTTAAATGCACTTGCTGAACTACATATTGGATTGAATGTATTCTCATCCTTACCGGATGATGGTTTCAAGGGGTTGGAGAGACTTGCTGTACTCGATGTCATGGACGCTGGCCTGGATAATATCAATGAGGGTGCGTTCCGTGGATTAACGTCATTACGTACACTTAAGCTTGGTGGTAATAAGTTGAGGGAAGTGCCAACAAAACAATTGTCAATGTTAACAAGACTCGAGGAGTTAACGTTGGGACAAAATTCATTTACACTTCTCAGGTCTGGGGCATTCCAAGGGCTATCCAATCTCAAAAAACTTGATATATCAGGGGCAAAGCTACTGACAACCCTCGAACGAGGGACATTCTCGGATAATGGAAACTTGGAGACACTCATACTTAAGAGCAATCGAAAACTAACAACACTCGAGGAGGGTGCACTAGCAGGACTTCCTAATTTGAGACATCTAATCCTTCGGGACAATGCCTTTGTCACATTCCCAGAGAGTCTCGTTTCATGGAATGACTTGCATAAATTCGATCTCAGTGAAAATCCACTGATATGTGACTGCAGCCTGCACTGGTTGGCTTCATTTCTCGCACCCAAGAACACGAGCGCTGTTGTTTGTGCTGAGCCATTGGAGGTCAGGCTGAAACCATTGAAAGGAATGACACCTGATGAATTGGGATGCGCATTTTCGGATCCGAGAAAGCAAGCCGTGCTATTGACTGTAATAGCTGTCTGTCTGGGGGTGATTACTGGATTGGCTCTGGTACTCTACTACAGGTGCAGGAAAAGGGTGAGAGATGCACTCAAGGACTACAAATGGAAAAATCGAGCCATCTCCAGGAAGGAGCACGAGTATCAGAAGACATTCTCGGACGACGAGTATATCGTTCGGGCGGCCCATGGACATCATCATCATATTAATAATCAGGGGCAACTTCATCATGGACAATTTCCACAGCAACATCAACAGGTATCGTCCGGCATTAAATCCATACCCGTTACAGAACTGTAGCTAGAGCTACGGGCAGCGAGCCCTGGTAATGGTGGGGTTTGGTTTTTACCACATGGTGGTACAACACCAGCCGAGGGCTTCACTTATATCGATGGTGAAACGGCGCGACAAATGCGTCGTACTGGTACGCTGCCCGTTAGTAATAATCAACGTACTAATACAATTTTTTGTGATGGACAGAGTGACATTATTGATGGAAATAGTACTATTGGTAATGGTGGAGTTAGGGTGCATCATACCAGTCATTCATTGAGGAGAAATCCACCAGCACTGCCAGCACATGGTGATTTGGATAGAATACAAAATGGTGGACCCAGTGGGAGAATTCAAAATGGCGGACAAAGACACTCACCACCTTGTCCACAGAGTTCATATCCAACGTTGCCCATTAATGGACATGGACATCATTATCATCATTATAGGGAGAGATCGAGAGAGAGGGGAAGGGATAGGGATAGGGACAGGGAGAGGGAAAGGGAGAGAGAACTTCCGGTTGTGCCACACAGGGGGGAAAAGTACAGTGGGAATATGGAACTTGAGGTGCATCAAGATGGCGGCATTGGAACTTACCGGGCGTAAAAGTCATGGGATTTTGCTTTGGGTGAAGAATTTTTGGAGGGGTCCATGAGTGAGGGAATTTCTCGGGTAAAAACACTGCAATCCGAAAAGTCTTCTTTTTCGAACAGACGTTCAGAAATTTTGAGGCGAGCTCTTTGACGCGGGAAAAAAAAGAGATTAAATTTGAAGGCAAGGATTTTCAATGGAAATTTCCCACCAGTGAGATCTTAATCTTCACCACTCAGTCGGTAAATTCTAAAGACATTTTTACTGCCGAGAAATTTATTTCCGTTTCTCTTTCTTTTTTGTTTGTTTGTTTGTTTTTTTTTTCTTTTTTTTTTATAAAATGGAAGACTGATGGATTTTTTGGTTAAGTTGAATGTTGGGAGTGTGATTTTTCTGAGGCAGCTCATGGACAACTTGGAGTTTATGGAAGACTGAAAGACGTCCTAATGTGATACGCCATTTACCGGAAATATTACAAAAATAACACATTTCGTTCTATTAGTGGGGGATTATTATCTCTACATTTTTTACACTTTTTTTAATAATGTATTCTGTGCGATTAACAAAATGGCGTCTCCGCGGTGTTCTTGACTTCAGTGATGCATCATTGGTGTTTTTGTGTAAGAGAAAAGTTAAAACATAAACTTTGTAAACTTTCCTGTAAGTTCGATAGTGACATAAGAAATATGATAATGAGTCAAAAATAAAATCTCATTATATCGAATTTCGTGAAATTCGATGGAAGAAAATTAATTTGATGTACCTTAAATTATCAAAAGAATTGGTAATGCGTGAGGTATTTCGACCAGTTTTTTTTTGTCATATAAATAATATATAAAAATATATATTCTAAACTGTCGAATTATTTTCTCAAAAATGATGACAAAAGAGATGTGACAAATGACTAAGGATAACACCACTGTTTCTAGCAAAGGGAGATACAAAAATGAACAAAAGGGATTAGAATTAATTTTAGGAGAAATGCCATAGTATTTACGCATACTTGTGTATACCAGTGTTCATAAAAAAAAATAATAATAATCCAGCCTGTGGGACGGTTTTACGAGCATCTGGCTGGGAAAATTTTCCCTCTGCAAAATCCGGAGATGGAAATATTTTTTGGCCAATTTGTTGTGAAGTTACGGCGAAGCAAAAAAATGGAGGTCGAGTTGGTCGATCGATATCTCAGGATCTATGAGGTTAAAAGAGATCGTCATTCTGGATTTTGAGATGGGAATTTTTCCAGCCGTACGATTAAATACTTTTCAATATCATCCACTGGTGATGAGATAAAAAAAAATTGCGGATTATTGTGAGTCGACGATTTTTTAAGATTAATACACGTTGAATGACGATTTATTTCTCTCTCCGATCTGAAAGAAGACCTCAGTACAACGAAATAGCGAAAACTTCACATATTCCGCAATAAAAATGCGCCAAGACGAAATAAAAAAAATGAATAACCACAAAGTAGGGTAAATTTAAGAGGAGGAAAATGTTTATTGAATTAATGGGAAATATAATCCAGTTCATCAGTTATTTATTAATTTATTTGATTATTTAATTATTTTCATGGAGCATAAAAATTTACTAGGGAAATTTAATAATCCCTCCCAATTTATGAGGGTCATTTTCTCGAATTTATCTCAAAAGTGCGTCGTTAAAAAAATTCTTAATACGACGATATAAAGTGATAATTAAAAGTCACTCACCATAAAAATAATATAAACATTTTTTTAATACACCATCTGTTGCATTACACGCGGGCAGGTCCCGGAAAATCGTAAAACCGTTGATGCAGGAGGATTTTAAGAACTCAAAGTAAAAATGGAAATTGAGAAGAACGAAATGTAATTATTGATTGATAGAGGAGATTATCATGAAATGATAAACCTTCACGAGGAGAAAAATAAATTCTTTAGAGAATATCTTTGGAATGAGTGGATAGAAAAATGGAAAATGTTTTGAGATATTTTTATTGAGAATTTAGTGCTCTAAAAAAATTTTCTCGACTTTTCCTTTGTGCAATCACGCGTTAATGAGATATTCTCATCTTTTTCTGTGAAGTTTTATCACTCCATCAGAATCATTTTAAGGTTTTGTAAATTTTAAGAATTACGATAGAATGAGTTCGTATCGTGTTTATGGTGAAATATACACGTGTCGTTAATGCTAGTCAAATGAGAAAACGCAAGATCATTGAATGAGAAAAGACGAGAGGAGTAATTTACGACAAAAAAAAAGCAAGATAATGAAGAAAATTAATTTAAACAAAATGAAATATTTGTCGGTAAAATAAAATGACTGTACAGAAAAAGGAAAAGTGTTGGAACAAGAAAAAAATAAAGAAATCTCTTGTTTCTTTTCTATATCGTCCCTATAACGATGATGCATCAACGTAATTGATAATTAATTAATTAATTAAATTAATTATATACGAGTGGGAGGGGGAAATTAAAATTTCATATTAATAATTGAATATTAAAGTGAATAATAATGATTGACTACACGTAACTCTTGTATGTCCTATGCACTTGAATTTATTGTCCTTCCACAATTCCCGTCTCCTACATTTGAACAAAGTGAAAATTCTCGATTTTTCGCGTTCCTATGATGTTTAATCTTCTGATTCACTGACGAATCGATTCAATTTAAGAATGTTTGTGTCAATATGGAACCAATGAGAATCATGGGAGTGAGGAAATATTTTTTTTTGGTGTAAATATATTTTCAGTTTCATCGAGTGTTTGATAATCGATCATTTCTACAAACCGTTAAGTCGATATCGATCAAGTGCAGAATTGTAAATTCGAAGCGAAAAAAATATTCTACGCGATGATTAAAAGAATCAAAAGTAATTGTTAGAGAAATTTTGATGGATGATTTAGTAAAATCATTGGATCTTTCCTCGAATCCATTTAATTCTAAAATCCTCACTCTCAATTCCACCGAAAGAAAAGGAATAAAAAAGAAGAAAAACGAACAAAAAAGTCTAGGGATTTCACTGTAGACGTAACTTTAGACATTTGCCCTCGAGGCCGCAACTTAATCCATACCTTTAGCTTTCTCAAATTATCAATGATAAAAAAATCACATGCACTTTCTATCGTTCAATTACTCCGAAGAAAGTCTCATATCGGTTTTCCCATAATGCATTCCATTATTTTTTCACTTATAATTATGATATTATTTTAGGTTTTTTTTTATCTTTACTTTCACTCGAACTTAATGTAGAATAATAATTGCGCAATCGTATCAGTGAACGAGTAATTTTACAAGAAAATACAATTTTTTTTTTCAAGAAAATTAAAATTACAACGAAAAATCTGATGCCATTCCCTGTAAAACCCCTCATTACCAGAAAATTTTCAGGTTTTCCCACGCATTAAAAATCAACTTCACGTGCAATTTTTGATTGTACTTTAGCCATTCACATCTGCATGAACTTGTAAAGAAAAAAATTTAATTCTTTTCGCCTCGAGGACAGTGAAAATGTAAAAAAGTGTAACAAAGATGCGAGAGTAATCCCTTCTAATTCTCTCCTCAACAAAATCCGCGAAAATAAAGAGAAAAAAAAAGGTCTCAGCCAATTTTTTTCTTAAACAAAAAAAAAGTGAAAGAATACGTTGTAAATATTAAATCTTAAGTTGATCTGAGAAAATACGAAGGAAGAGAGAATATTATCCCTCCTAATAACTAGCTGTACTTTTGGGCTTGAATACCAAGTAAAAATACTAAATGAGAGAGCGAATGACGAGAAATGAGAGATATGAAGTGGGCGATGAGGGGATGAGATATAAATATTATACATAAACGTATAAATAAACTATGTAGGTTAAATGGAATATTATAATGTTATAGGTATATTTCCAGCATTATTTTGTACATAAATGACTTTATTGGAAATCATCAATAAATCTATATAAAAAAATGCCATTCAATTAATTTACAATCCCTTAATGACTAGCATAGAGACGTGAAAAAGCTAATTGGATATTCGGGGAAAATTGCATAATTCAAATGGATACAGATTGAATTACTTCAAGCATTAAATTTGATAGAAAATAATCATTGCGAAATTATAAATTCGAAATGATGGGAAAACTTTAATGAGAAATCCACAGAAATATCGATTTCAATTGACAATCAAAATAGAAAAAATCTGAGATTTATTTTTTCTGCGTTTTGAAATTGGGGGGGGGGGAGTGATGAATTACTTTGACTTGTCTCGTCTTTTTGTAGAGTGAAAAAAAGTTCGAGGTGGAGTTACAGACTAAAAGGGCGAGGGGGAGGACAAAAAGAGGTGGAGTAGAACGGATGACAGGCTTCAAGTAGGCGTCAAGACGAAATTACTTTGCAATTCTAATGCGACTGGCAAAAAATTCGTATAATCATCGATGAGACCTTCTGTTCACCCATGAGAATTGAGTGGCTTTTTACCCCTCTTCACCCCAACTCCAGCCCATCCAACCACAACCCCACCCATCCCCACCCACTAATCTAGAACAATTTAAATAAATTACATTGATCTCCACTTCTCAAATGAAATTTAAAAAATGTATTAAAAAATGGGGGTTCTAGAAGTGGCACAAAATTTCTGAATAGCAATTAATTTTTTTTTTAATTTTCTTTTTAGCACGCGATTTACAATAAATATTCATTCCTTAAAAACTCATAAAAAACATGATAATTTATTTTCTATAGTTTGACATTTATTTTTTTATTCAATGAACCCTCATCCGTGTATCTCTCAAAAATTCCCTGAAACAAGGGAAGACCAGAAAAATTCTTTCATTCCATTCCAACCCTCTTTATCCCATCCCCAGCCCCTTCAATCCTTTCATCTCCATGGCCCCTCACTGTTTTATCTCCCCCTGGAGGCGGTGAAATCGCCGCTTAAGAAAGAAGTGAAATAAACGCACGTTGAATGCATCTGTGCGCAGATAGAGTGATGCGTCGTAGTAATTAATGGTTGGGCCGCAGAAGCATCAACCTGAAGGCTGGGGGTTCAACGAGACAGAGGGTGATAGGAGGCTGGAATCTCTCTCTGTCACATACACGTCTCTCAATCTGACATGCTCTACGTTCTACTAACCCCCTTCCACATCTCGTTTTCCCTCTAGAGATCCAAGCGCTCGTTACTACCCTGAAAATTAATGCACCAGTGGGGGAAGGGGATGATGTGTACTCCGGAATTCGTCCATTATAGCGCTGAGGAGGACAATGAGAGAACAGACGAGACACTGTGGATTTTACAGACGTAATGAAATATTTCGGGGGAGCCATTTTTAGGGATCAATTGTCTCGAAATTTCAAGGTGGTAGTGGTCCATTGCTTGGCAGCTTTTCCTCTTTTTGGCCTTTTGAGATATTATCTCGAGTGATAACAACCTGTCACGTTGCGATAATATTTACTCCAACATACAATAATTTTCCAGACTTTTTTCTGATACAACAACAAAATCATATCGAATTATATCAATTCTCGAATATTGATACACCAAAAAAAAAGTGAATTATCAGTTCCACATCATTACCTCCCCCCCGAAAATAGCCTGGAAAATCTACTGCTAATTAAGTATACATCAGGAGCTTCTTGTTTCTGATAATAACAAAAACCATTTAATTCATGGGGTATACATATACTCTCGACTTCTCGAGGATTTCTCCGGCTTTTTTTTTTCTCATCTCCAATCCTTCCCCTCTAACTACCACCCACGTACAACGAGAAATCCCATTCCACTTTTCTCACTCTCGTCTGGCCACATCCCGGCCATTTTCACTAGCACAGAGTCTCTGCATTTACCAAAATACTACAAGCTCAGTTTAATAACCCGCAAAGTAAGACAACAACTCCACATTATTTCCGCATTATCTGTTTTTTCGACGTCTCCTTCCGCACGATTAAATAAAAATGATAAATTTCAAAAAGTTACCGTCGCATTTTTTATGATTCAATCTTCATTATGACTATTCAACGTCAACCATATGAATTTTATAATTTATCATGAAGTCGTTTATTTACCAGTGAATCTGAGAGATGTAGTACATATTGAAATGGTGGCCGAGCCATCGGTATCAAGAGCCACTGGAGCTGGATAAATTCCATCCTTCCTCGTTCCCTTTAGTACCTTTGAAAATAGATCCGACAATCCATTCCCATTGTCATCGATTTCACACGGCAAACACCCACCATATGTACACAACAATAAATTTCATCATTTTTTATTGTTCAATACATTGTCCCCATTCCAACTTTTTAAATATATTTAGAGAGGTGTTTTATATTTTTATATTTTTATGTCACGGTTGAGGATCAAAATATTTTGATGAAGAGACTGGTTAAACAGGGGAGACATTGAAAAAAATATTCTTATGACATACTTTCACTGATATAAGCCGACTTTTGTCCTCTTCTCGTGGTATATATATGCGGTAATGTACTCGTGTATATAGTACTTCTGGCACGTTTCGAGTGTTAGAGGGTAGAGAGCCATTGCTGGAGAGCCAGAACTCGCGGAGAGCCGCTAATATATATGCAAATGAAGTATTTGATAAATAATTCAGTTTTCAGTTGAGCTCCGGCTGAGTGAGGGGTGAGTGGGTGGAGAATCACCAGCTCTAATTTACCCGAATTAACCTCATCCCCGGTTTCTTCAATCTCCTCAGCTTAGCTCGGTCACATTGTGTTATGTCCATTTATTCTTCTGGATCTCTCATAATTATTCATTATTTTTTATTTTTTATTAATTTTCTTTTCGGGTTACTCTGGTTACTTTCGGGTGCCTGAAAGGTCCCGGCGATATTTAAAGATTTGTACGATTCGCATGTGAGTATGTTTTTTCAGATATTTGAAGAGAAATTGGAAAATGGATAGTTGAAGAGGTGGAGGAACACCTCGGGTGAAAAAAATTGTAATCGGAATATTTTTTTCCAAATTTTCAAAGAGGAGATTTGAATTTTCACATGGTGCCAAGCACACAGTGACACGAAATTATATTAAGATGCGGAGTTATCCAATTTCTCTCTCCAAAATTTCCTGAGCCAAAGTTTTGACACATTTCGCCTGTCTTCACACGGCCTCTAAATTATTCAATACCTGCGTTAACCACGTACTTGGTTATCACCATCATACGCCACATACGCCTTACTACTTTGCGCTCTTTTAGTTTTCAGTAGTGAAACGTGGACGGTTTTCAGTTGAAAAGATACGAGGCACGTATGACCTCGGACAGTCCGGATGGTTGTAGTGTTTAATGTTGATAAAAGGTCAGGTGAAGAGAAAATATCCAAGTGCAATTAAAAATTCGCATTTTCAGCAATCGCAATCAGAATGACTAAATGTCGTAATACTTCAGAAGTTATTTTCTATCTTAAGAAAATGTCTTTTATCTGGAGCATGTCTTCTGACTCATGGTAATGTCATTCTTACTGCGGTTTTTCATTTCCGCCATGACGTGGGTAATTGATGAGACCAACGGCACATTTTTCTCACTCACTCCTAGAGTCTCATTTTCCTCCAGCAAGAAAATGACCCCGCCGTCTAAAAAATTGTATGCCCTTTTGCCAGTTCCAGGAATGAAGAAAATTCTTGTATTTCACCACAGATATTTCTCACTAATTAAACAACATGTATTAAACTGCACAGGCATATAATAATTCAATGAAAATTCATTATTGGGATCTGCAACAGGAAATTCAGAGAAAAATTCGAGTCCAAAAAATTGTAGACATTTTGTCATAAAAATTAAAGGGACAAGTGTCGAATTATCTTTCTGATCTGATCGGAAACCAGTCGATTTGTTTAATGCAATAATTCTCATCTGTTGGCTCATCTTTCTTCGATAGAGACACAGCGGAAACGTACATTTGCGAATCAAATAGCATTAGCAAAGTTCCGATAACAACGTTCCATTGATCTTCAGACAATGGTATAGTTGACAAACTTGATACATAAAGCGAATTCGTCTAAGCCCAGAAGGGATTCCAAATCCTCTCAGTACCCTCATTCAATTGCGGATAAATACATGCGAGTATAACTCCATGAGTAAATGTGCATTCACCTAGATTTCAAGATTTCGGATGAGATCGGAGGATTCTAATCAGTTGTCAGGATTTAATGCCCGGGAAACTTTTCTATCTCAGAGAATTCGGGAATTCCCCCAATTTTATTTATGACGATGCATCATCTTTGAAACATTCTCAAAATCAACTTATGATAATTATTACCTGTCAGTTATTTAGAGATTTCTTGATAAATCATTGAATTCGTCGCCTTATATATATTTATATGTTATTATTTATGTTATGAATGAGGCATCCATAAATTCAGTATTTTTTCCACCTTGCCGATTGGTCGATGAGGTAGAAAATGTAATACCTATCGATCCCTAATTTGGCCTTATGCAATGTAAAACATTGCACATCGTTGTCTAATAAATTCATCAGTGCATTAAAAACAATTTAATAACATTGGCTGCATTTTTAAAAATTTCCTCCATGATGATCGCTTATCCTTAATCAAATTATTCACTCCACCCAAATCCATCGTATAAACATGATATTTATTTCCATAATGAATAATGAAAAATCTACAAATAAATACATAAATACAAATATTGTGACTATAACTACTTAACCGAAATATTATCACAAAACATAATGAGAAAGAACTTGCTCACGCTCGCCCGCTCAATCATCCAGTGTAATTATTTCCACATTATCCTTCAGACTCTTCTCCGTTTTCTTGGCAGGATTACCGGCCCTCCGAGGTACTTCATAAACTGCCATCGATTCCGTGCCGGCAGGTCTCGCCTCCTTTTGCGGTATCCCACCCAAAGGCAAAGGCAGATTTTTTCCAAAATCGATATTCTTCGAATGTTTCCCCTGGGGAATGATCTCCAAATGGGATTGCTGCTGCAGCTGATTGAGTACAGAGTATGTCTCAGCAGTGGAAGTCCCTGGAATACTGCCCCCAGTCATATCCACCCCTTTGGACTTGCCGCTCTTCCTAAAAGTAGGTTTAAGAGGTATTTTTGAGGCTACAGTCTGGCTAACAGGACTGACAGATATTCCACTGAGCTCGCAAGGTCTGAAAGGTGATCCCGCCATCTCCATGAATCTTTCATAATGCCCAGGATGGACTCCTGCCATCTGTGGCTTGACTTTCTGTTTTTTATGTGGATTTTGGTGTGGATTGTGCTGTGGCTTCTGAGCTAGAGGCTGGCCCTGCTTCTTCGACAGTAACTTGTGCTGTAGAGACGTTCCCCTCTGCATCCCCATGGACACCGGTTTGATATTCAGCCCCGAGGCCTGCAAACTGGCATGACTCACCGGAAGATTAATCCCCGAGGGACTTGCACTCTTTATGGGGTTTAACAATGATGCATTGTGCGCTGGCTGGGGCTCGGTCAAACTCTTGGAGACCCTGATCTGCGGCGCTGACATCTGCTTCGGTGGAGTGGTCTTGGGTGATTGAAGCACAGAGGGTTTTAACAGAGAAACCTGTGTGGGCGAAGTCAGAGGTTTCTGCATCTTCCCCAAAGGGGCGATATCGTGTAGGTGCTTGGATTTCTTGGAGTGTGCCACTGGAGTAATTGACACAGAGTGAGAATGATCCTTTGGGGTGGAGATCATTCCAGATGTCGTAGAGGCAGTGGAGTTCTGCATATTCAGCAGCTGCTGGACAGTCAAGCTTCCCATGTTGTTCATGGAGCCTAGTCCTGGCATTCCTGCCTGAGGCATGGAGCTCGTGGTGTTTATGGTGCTATTCATCATGGGGAGAGTCCCACTCGAGCTGGAATGTGAAATTGGAAGATTGCTAAATCCAGCGAGGCCTCCGATGGACGATAGATTGCTCTGGTACTGGCGCAGGATGTCCTGATAATTTTTCAAATAATTGACTGCTGAGTAAGGGTCCATCATATTGCCACCCAAGCCTGTTGCTAACATCGCTGATACCATGTTTTGGTCCATAAGAGGATTTACGAAGAAGGGATTCATCAGGGGTTGACTCGTAGTGCCTGACATATTCCCAGCAAAACCCATTTTCGCGTTGAATTGGTTCAGCACGTTGGAGGCCTGCATTGAGAGGAACTTGTTGACATTGGGGGGACGGCCCCTGGGTCGACCAGTCCCAGAGGACTTGTAGGGTTTTCGTTGCTGAGTTGTCTGGGGTGAGGTAGGCACTGGCGGCGCCTGATTTGGACAGTTCAGGGGCTGATTTGGGAGTGAAACAACTGCTGGATGGCCAAGGGGCCCTAAGGGAGCCTCCGATCGGTGCTGGTGTAAATGAGGCTTGTTCGCCAGCTTCTGCTGCTGGCAGCAGCGCACCGCAGCCTCCAAAAGATTTCCCTCCGATGTTTTTATACCCATGTAGCACTTATAAGTGTCCACCAACAGAGTCGCAAACGCTTGCACCTCTTTGCCTTGGAAATTTTTTTGAACTTGCTGGTAGATCTTGTATACATCGAGCAGCACGTGGGTTCGAGAATCGATGCGGTAGAGTTGCGTATTGTCAGCCCCAGGTGGAGGGCTCATTAACTGCACTCTGGTACGCAGGGACTGAAGGCTCAGGGTCAGAGCTTGACGGGATAATTGCTCACGTTCTGAGTCTCGCACGTATTTCCTGGTAAAAATTGTGAGTTGTCATTATTCATTTTTCCATCTCTGTTCTCGATATTGTGCATAATTTTTGACAAATTTGAAAGACAGAACGACAAATTCAAGTTTCAAATGAAAAGGCAAATTTTTAATTTCCCGTGTTTCCTTCGTTTCGAAATGATGGGGTCAGTCAATGAAGCCTGTGAAAGGGGACTTACTTGTCGGCATCTGGGATTTTTCTCAGCTGGATGCACAGCTCCATCAGCATTCGGCTGTCATCGGTTTCCTTAAGAACTTGCATTAAGAGAGTCACGCATCTTGACATGTGCGATGGAAAGCTGCCTGGACGATCGATTTCGTCAGTTGGAATACGCCAAACACCCTATAATTGATTGATTGATTGATTCGAGTTTTAATTATCTGCTATGTTGTATAAAATTATTTATATTTATCATTTAGATTCATACATATCATTAAGACTCAACGAACAGAAGAAACAGAAGAAATTTCAGTAAAATACCTACATGAGGAAAGAAGAGGTGTCTAGTCTTGTTAATAAGTGATATATATATACATACAATGCTCGCATTACTATCGCATCGTGAGTGTCAATGAGTCGTTAATCTCCTCACGATACAAAGTGTCTATAAAAAGCCGCCGAAAGAAAGACGGCTCTTCGTAAGTATGTAACACGTATTTGATGCATGTTCGTCTCTCTTTGAATTCGGAAAAAAAAACACGAAAAACTCTAATTAAATTTGATGACTAGTTTGAGTGACACTGGCCTATGAATGTCTCAGCTGAATTGACATTGGAGTAGTCAGTGAAATGTTATCGCAGTAAGCAAGCCGATATTAGAACGTGTTAGGTAGACGCTTCAAACATTTTTTTCGAGTATATGTGACTCAGGGGTAAATTGATGGAACAATATGAGCTCGTCGTCACGGAGAGTTAAGAGCAAAGTTTAATTTTATAATGAAGTTAATTGCCAATTCAGTGCAATTATGTGTGTGATTTAAATTTCAATGAAAAGCTATTTAATTTCTCATTTATATTAAAAATTCAAGTGTCATTTTGCAATAGTGTAAAATGAGATAAATAGCATTTTACAATTTTCCAAATGCCGATTGATCTAAGCGAGTATTAATTGTAGAAGGAAATATTGGGAATTAATTTTTTTGTCTAGTCTAGTATCCATTTTGTCCACTAATTTGGCTTCTAAAAGTAGACGGATAATGAGTATTCCTAGAAATTGGGGAATACATTGCTAAAGTAAATTCATGCCAACAGATACCATCGCACCATCGATTGAATAAATCGATAATAAATACACGAGCAAGACTGTTCTAAAAATATTTGCGGAAAGCAGTGATGAAGAGAAGAATCGTGATAATGATGAGCCTGTCATTTCTGATAGCCCTGAGTGTTGCTGTCACCGGGTAAATAGTTTCTGTCGGTATTCGTATTCTGTCGGAGACAAAACTGATAAAACTAATCCTTACAGGTGTCTGGCGTACTATTTAACCGATAATCACGATGTTATTATCAAAAAATCGGAAATGCTCGTTATCGACACTGACGCCGGGGGTGATGATGCCATGGCTATTCTCCTAGCTTTAGCCGCCTGGAAGAGCAACGATTCCGATTTTGAAGTCGTGGGTATCACGTGTGTCTACGGCAACACCTTCGAGGAAAATGTTGAGATCAATGTGCTCAAGACACTCACCATTGCCAACGCATCCGAGGTAAATTTATCCCGTCGTGTTTTCATTAGGCACAAATAAAAAAAAAAACGTGCAGGGCGATAACTAGGCGATCGTATCTACTGCCAAGTTTACTGATATCCACAAGAAAATTGGCATCGTGAAAATACTGTGAATAGTTATTCATTTTTTCATTTCCTTGGAATGAAAATAGATTCCAGTATATGGAGGATCGCAGAAGCCTTTGATATCCAGCAATTTTACTAGCGAAAAATATTTTGGAGAGGATGGTTTCGGGGATTTTGTTTTTGAGGATACCATTACAGCTAGAGTAGATCGGTCCCGACACGCTGCCCTTGTCCTCGTCGAACTGGCTAAGAAGCATAAAGGTGAACTCAACATTCTGGCCCTAGGACCCCTCACCAATATCGCACTGGCCCTCGCACTGGACCCCCATTTTCTCCAGAATGTTAAAAGATTGTACGTCATGGGTGGAAGTGTCGCAGGAATGGGAAACAAATCTCCAGGGGTTGAGTACAATTTCGGACAGGATCCTGAGAGCAATTTTGTCACTTTTAACTCGATGACTTTTTATAATAAATCCCTTTTATTATTCCCGTGGGAAGCTTGTCGCAGTACTAAGATAAGTCGGGTAAGAAATTGTATTAATTGTATTAATATTCCTTAGCTAGTGAATTATTTGCATGAAATCCGATTATCCGAGTATATAATTGAAAGGCGTCTAAAAAATTTTGTCTTTTCATCTTCCAGGAATGGAGAACGAATGTGTTGGGTACTGTTCCCTCGACATCTATGAGTTTCATGAACAAAGTAGAAAAAAAAATCCTGAACGAAAAGTTCTGGACACCAGCCGACGTAATGACAGCAGCAGTAATGATATGGCCGAATTTATCAGTAAAAACATTTTCGACTCGAGTCACCGCAATAACCGACGGTGCAGCACGTGGAGGTCTTCTCGTGGACTACAGCGAAGCCCCTGAATATTCCAATACCGACATTATTCAGGAATTGGACCCTCAGTGGTTCAAGCGCATTCTCCTCAAGTACTTGTCTAGAAATTGAGCACCCAAAAAGAAAAAAATAAAAGTTCACTTACATTAAAAAAATTGGTGCTCTTCCTGTCAGCGAAGAGCCCCTGGATAGTCATCCCTGTGTGGTACTGACACTTGAATGTTCCCAAGAGCAGATCCCGACACTTGTTGTTGTCCTTGGCACTTTTGTTATTGAAATAAAAATGAGAGAGACGATAAATAGATTTGTAGTGGCCTGGAAATCTCAGGACACACTGCTCCAGGCCTGCCAGGCAGTAGCTGATGATTTTTGCGACTTCAATGTCTGTGAGATATTCCTCTTTTTCCTCGACGATCCTTTTTTTCTTATCGCTCTCGCTGTCGGCCGAGTCACTATCACTATCAACACTGGAGCTATCACTTTCCGAACTGTCTTCACTGCTACTGGACTCGTCACTGCTACTGAAACTCGAATTATTAGTCTCATTTGTAGTGGTAGTGAGTGTAGTAGTGGTGCTCTCCTGCGATCCCCTGCGGCTCATAGTGGCCTCTTCCTTCACAGCATTCACCTGTGTCTTCTTTCTTTCGGCATGTTTCTCCTTGTTAATTTGTTTGTCCCTGGCAATGTCACTCCCTTGATGCGCTACCTCTTCGTGCTGCATCCACTTGCCCTCGCTCTTTCTGCTCTCCTCCTCGTCAGTTTGCGATGGCTGTTCCTCGAGCATCTGCTTCATGAGATCATCCATCATATCTTGAGCATTAACAGGGATGAATTTATTCACAAATTTCTCAGGTGCATGACGCTCCCTATCACTTTCGTCACTCGATATTACCATTACTTCATCACTTGAGTCCTTTTGCGTGTCCTTCGGCCTCTGGAGATTATTATCACATACTTTTGTTATCAGATCATCGATGATAGAGAGTACATCCTGCATCAGTTGTAGATGCGAGATATTCCCCACCTTCATTCTCTTAGTAGACTCCTCACACCCATTATCTCTCTTTCGTTTTTTATTATCACTTTTTATTTCCCTCCCTTTTCCCTCAATTTTCTCCGGTACTGCCACTTCCTCCACACTGTTTTGACGTTTATCCTGAGTTCTATTCTTGGGAATGACCTCTGAGGGATGAGTTTCCTCTCTCAAGATCCTCTCCTCATTGATGTCCTCCTTTCGTCTCCGGTTGAGCTTCGATGGATACTGCATGAAAGGGCCACTCGCACACTCAACAAGACACTTGAGAAACAATTGCCCAAGGGATTTCTTCAGAGGTTTGCCCTCATGTTGCTCCAAGTACTTGAGAATACTCGCATGAATTCGGTAATGGACCTCGAGGGCTTCCACCGCCGAATTATTGGCGTTCTTCAGGCTTATTCTCTTTGGATAATGAGCGTTGTTCTTGTACAGGAGATCACTAGCTCTTTCGTAGTGCTCTAGAAACACCGGAGGATCCTCGTTCCTCTTCTCCGCTATTTTTCCCAGCATGTAATGATACAGCCAACGCTCGTCCTGCTGATGAGGCTCGTCCTCAATATTCGCCAGGTAAATTCTGTTGGCGGATTGAAAACAGTTATCAGCAGCTTCCAACGTCGTCTCTTTTCTACTTTCCAGTATTGCGAATTTCTCCATGCTAAGAGTATCAGACTCCTGTTTCAGAAGTCTCGAGCAAAACGAGTGCACCATGTACACGAAATTGCCGTACTCTATCCACATGACACTGTGACCAGGCTTGAGCTCGACAGCTCGCTCGAAGCTGCACTGTGCCATCTTTGCCTGGAATAGAAGCTTGTTGATATCAAGTATGGGCTTGCAGTTATTCAAAAATGTACCCATCACTGTTCCCACTGACATCGCCAGGGCTATCCACGAGTTGAATGCCCCAGGGTGAATAATCACGTCCATTGCGTAATACTTCACAGCTGATGAAAAATTACTGTTCTTGAAAAGATGATCTGCTAGGAGATAGTAGAGAGCGTTTACCTGGTACGGTAAGGATTTTGTAACAGTGGGCCTCCTATCGTGCTCACCCGCAATGTAATTCATCATCTCCTCGACGAGATCGCTGGGATCACTTTCCTTGGGCACTAGAGTGCTGATTTTCTTGAACAGATGGTGGATATCAGCTGATATGGACATCGGCTTGGCTGAATCGAACTCGGGGATCACTTCAGGTCTGTAGAACTCAAAAAGCAACTGTGCGATGTCCCAGGTCAGAGGAATCATGGGTACCTGATGGTCCTCCAAGTGTTTAGGCTTGATTTTATTTGTTCTGTTGGGGTGGCCATAGAGACACCAAAAAATCTGCTCGAGGTACTTGTCGATTTTTTCTCGAAGCACAGCTAATCGAGGTCCGCACAGCCTAGGAATCACTGTCTTCAGAGTGAACAGCAGCAATTTGGCCTCATTCATACAGCACCAGGCGTGCCTCCCCAGGAACTCGTGACCTGTAAAGAGGATCATCAACGGTGATGGTATGTCTTTATCCTCGTCTTCAGTATCTGTATCGTGGAAGTCTGAGGGTCTTGACTTCTGGGGTTGCCTGGATTTTCCTCTTTCCTTGTCCTCTTCATGCTGGAGAACGTGATGAAGAAGAATCCATGGAGTAACAGTCTCTAGAGGCATTTCCATCGAGTTCTCTGGGACGTCCAGCTGGTGGCACGTTATTTGAATCAAATTCTGTACTAATCGAGAGCTCTTGGCGTCCAGATACTTGATGACAAATGTTCCAGAGATCTCTGCACATGCCTCGAGTTTCTCCAGTGAGTTGAGGACACTCTGAGCCCATTTCTTGCGCTCAGACTCCTCCCCGGAATTGATATAAACCTGCCACGCCTCGTTGAGACAGGCCTCCGCCCAGATGAAGCACTCCTCGTACTGTTCCAGCTGCCAGAGGCAGTCCAATAGCATTGACAGTTGCTTCACCCGCTCGACATTGAGTTTCAGACCTGTCATCACCTCGTTCCTTTGCTTGGCGTATTTAAACGTCTCCTGGAGAATAAGAGCTAGCTCAGAGTATTTCTGTTCGTCGTAGAGCCTCTGGACTTCACCTAGCTTCTTCCCTCTTTCGATGGAGGTCAGGCGTTTTTGAACGATTGGAAGAGCAATTTTCGAATAGTACTTGCAGTTTGGCAGCTTCACTGAGATCATTGTGGAGTCAGACTGCTGAAGGTCGTAGATCATTCGCTCAAGAGTCCTCATGGACACTTCAGTATCGCCCTGACACATGAAGAGGTTTACCTGCACCCAGAGGAGCCGCAGATGGAAGATCATAGGTTTTCCACTCAGCACATCATCTCGAACACTGGCAAAGATTATGTAGCCTAATTCTTCAGAGGGTATTCCCGTGCCAAATCTATCCACCGAGGCCGAAGGCACTAATGCAGGTCGATTGTTCAACCACTTGTCAGTGTGGAATTCTGCGAAGAGAAGTGTCATCTCTGCGTCGTGCTTCAGGATCGACTCATTCTCCTCCGGATCACTGATTGGTGATGAGTGGGGAATGTGCTCTCTGGTAAAGAGGTATGTCTTGATGTACACATCAGGGAGCTCCTCCGGCCATTCCTGATCCCACTTCGTTGACAGAAACTCGGTGAACATTCCTATTATCACCATCAGATTATTTTTCCCCGAGTATTGGGCGATGAAGTCTTGAATGTCAGATGTTTCCATCTCTGAACCGAAGTATTTCATGCTCTCGTCGAGAGGACTGGGCGATTTGGAGCTCTCCGAGCTCTTGATTCCATCTGTATTTGTCGTCTCACGAGATGCGAAGAGCTGATAGAGGTCCATCGTGTCCATTGAGTCGTCCATTGATTTCAGAGGATCATCCCTGATAATTTTAGCGGTGTCAGGCAGTAAATTACTTGGGAATATTCTTCTCATGGTCTCTTCCAGCTCTACATCGTCTCTCTCTGGTTCTCGTCTATTGGAGCCCCTCACCCTAGGTGATCTCCTCATGCTGCTGCTGCTCCACGCCCACTGTTGCAGAAAACAAAGTGAACTCCTTCGACGTTTCTTCACCTTCTGCTGCTCCTCCTTCGCCTCTGCTTGCTCACTCTTCTCATTTCTTGGATTTTTTTCTACCTTGTCGACCTCGTCCAAGATTTTAGGCTCCTCCGAGGAGACAGGAATAATCTCGGATGAATTTTCCTGCCGTAGAGTTACATCGGTGTCGTTCGAGATGTTTATGGTCTCCGTGAAGTCCTCCATTTTCTCATCCACCTCAGTTTTTATCTCGGGGAGGTCCAGTTTTATGGATTTTCCGTCCTCGATTATCAAGACGTCACTCGAGGGGTTCGATTTGTCCTCCAGGTTAACTTCCATTTCTGTGGTTACCTGGGGAAGCTGTTGGTCGTTGAGTTTATTTATTTTTTTTCCGTTCATCTCTTTCAGGTCTATCTCACAATCTATCTCGATGCTCGGTGATGAGAGAATTTCAGGGATTGGTTCCTCCTTATGGATGACCTCTGTTTCCTCCATCCTGTCATTTTCAGTCTGTTCACTCAGTCCAGGTTCTTCTCTTTCCAGGTCCCTCGGTACATCGACATTCAGGTTGAGTTTGCTAGCGAAATTTAAGTTGTTATCGGTAATGTAATGATGCATCTCTATGAGGGACTCCCCAAGCTCCAGCCACGTGAATTTCTCCAGCGGTTTCTTCAAGGAGACGTCTGGGAGGGGTTTGAACTCGAAATCTGGTCTGCACGCCTCTATCCACCTTTCTGCCACTTGTTTAGCTTCATTAAGGAGTTTTTCCCCTAGGCATCTGTCGTACTCAGTGTCGAGAGGGGGATCCAGCTGCCAGTCTGGATTGAAAAGCTTGTAGCTTTCCTGGAAAAAGGGAATGTCCTTGAAGATCTTGTCCCTGAAGGCAAGACCCTTGACGTAGCTTGGGTCTCGCTCCAAGGCCATCGATATGTACAGCAGACAGTTGGTGTAGTCCGGAACTGCAAACATTGCTGTAATAATGCTGTCGAGGCAAGGCCAGTGATTGGGATTGCACTTAAGGCCTTGTTTGAACGTCGAACAGGCGAATTCTAAATTTCCTGTCTCCATGGCAAGACTGCCCATCCTGTACCACAGCATCACGTCGGTGTCATCGAGATTAGTTGCCTCCCAGTAGTTATCGATCGCTGAATCGTAGCTCTTCAGTCGAGCGTAGATGCCACCGATATTTTTGTAGCAGCAGTACTTGAGGGAGAGCATTGGTCGAGTCCTGCCGTCTGGTACCTCAGGTTTCTCCACCTGATCCAATAACTCTGTTTCTAGGAGGTCCTTCAAGATGTTCAGGGCGTCTTCTATCTTCTCAGCTTTCAGCAGCTGCAGAGCTTTGTTGTACTCTGTCAATGCTATTTGCTCCTGCAAGAAATTCTCATTAGTTTATAAAAAAAATTAAAAGATTTCAATCTTGACAACTCCTTTTTGAGGGACACCGGTTTAGGTTATGACCCTGGAACGGGAATTTTTCATTCTTAATGAAGCAGTTTAGATTTTCCATAAACTTTGAAATAATACAAAAAAAATGTCAATTGTACTAATTAAATGGAAGGTGTTAAAAATGTTAGCACATTCATTTCAGGTAAATACCTGAGCTTCTTTCGTGATCTTCGGAATATTATTCTCCTCATCGCTTTCCTCGCTAGACTCCTCGTTCAGTGCTGATATTTTCATCATCTTCAAGAGATGTTCGAGTTTTCAAAGAATTGAAATAATGTTTACGTCATTTAGGTGGCGTCAGGGGACGGGCAGTTTTATCAATCAGGATGAATTCAGTTATTTTTTTGGAGCTCCTCAAAATAAAAAAAGCATGGACTGAAAAGTGTCATGGCGGAGAGCATGTAGAAAGTGTCATGGCGGTGAGCCGAAAGATGCGTTCTCATGTTCATGACGACGGTCTACGTATATTTGAATCGATTTGACTTGATTAGGGGTTAATTTGACAACAATATTTAACACACCATAATCTCGGATGTTTTTATTAGTTATCAATGATAAAATAAGGTAAAAACGAGTTATAATATTGGTAAACAAAATATAACCATTAGAGATTACGTTGCCACTCGATGAGAGGTCTTTGTGGTATGACCCGATAGAATTTCTTGAACTTTTTCCCAATATGTTGACCAGAGAAAACTTCAGGTCTCCACAATGATTTGTCCATCGATTCCTCATCTCCCAAGGAATCTTTAAGAAGTCGTACCAGGGAGCTCTCCTTCCGGAGCTCTCTCCAAGTATCATCCTCTCCATGATCATCCACCGTTGGATTTTGAATTATCTCCATTTCATCGTCAGATACATGCAAAAAGCTCGATGATCTCCCATTTTTGTCGGGCAAAGAATTTTCCGGAACGCCATTATTTTCATAAATTTTCGATTTTGTTACAACTTTCACCGGACTTTTAATTATTTCTACATCAATCTTATCATTTTTTTTATCGTCTCTCCCATCACTGCTTTGTTCATTTGTGTGGTTACTAATTACCATTTTCCTTGGAATTTCAAGAATATTGTTCCGCAATTCTGTAGATTCCTTCGCTGATTCATCAACTAGGACTTGTCCACGGCTGTTATCACGATCGCAGGATTTTCCCTTGGTCCCTGGATTATCTGATTTTATAGATGCCAATAGCCTTTGTGATAATTTCTTGACATTTTCCTCAGGCATACACACAGCTTTAGCTTTCTTCACATTCTTGTCAGTGTCATTATTCTCAAGGTCTCTGGATCTTTTTCTCTCGTTCTTCTTGTCCGGAAATTCACTAATCAAATCCATCGGTGATCCCATTCTATCTTCGATAGATCTCTCAGTGTCATTATCTCCAAAGGATTCGGTTTCGGCTATGATCAAGGATTCTGGAACGATTGCATTTCTCCCAGCAAGACGATTTGCACTCGCCTGAGTCTCAGCTGCTAATATTTCTCCTTCCTCTACCACTTTTTTCTCTCTTGCATTCTTAAGTAAATTCTCATACGAAAAAGATGGATTACAACAGCTTTCGACAGAAGCGGAAAGAATTGCCAAGGTGATTTCAATTTCCGGAATCATTCGGCGATTATTATTTTTCAAGAAGCTCTTCACTCTGGCCACATCAGGTACTCTATAAGGCTCAGTCTGGCTGTCATCGTCGTGGTAAAGTATGACTCTAGAGTTTGAGTGAGACAATAATTTCTTATCGAAGCTCTTCTCACCATAGAAGACTGACGTTCCTCCCGATAATTCAATCATTTTCTTGTACGTATCCATTTGATTCTTCCTGAAGTGAATGAATACAAAATCCATGAAGATTGATTTCCGAGAGGGATTTGGGAGAAGAGAAGTTTCGTTTTTCAGTAACATCGAGTCCTCGAGAACTGGACAGAATTTACTAGGATCTGGAATGGGATTACCTTCGCGTTTCGCTTTTTTCACTGATCTCCAATAATCTATTGTCACAATGGAAACTCCAGCTGCTAGAGCACATACTAATTTGGCAGTTAATTTTGGAATGGAAACTGTAAGATGTGTGCAGCTGTCATTCCATTCTTCGAGAATTGTACCATTTATTGCTGCCATTATTTCCGTCAGTTCTTCTTTGTCTTCTCGAGTTAAGGATGATGTTAACAAGACAAAAGTTTGTTGAATAAATGTCAAAATGCAATTTTGGAGACCGAAACGAATTCTGTCATTGGGCTGAATCGTATAAACATCTTTTATTTGCATGAGAACTTGATTATTGTTGTCCATGAGAAAGGTTCCATATTTGGATTTTGTATCGGTCACTTGACATTTTTCCAAGCAAGAGAAAATCTCGATTTTAGCATGGGAACGACTGATGGATCCATCGGATTTAGCGATTAAGTCCCCTTGATTCCTACCAATAATAAATGGCTTAGAAGGACTTGGATAATAGCGTTGATCTGATTCGTCTTCAAGAATCCACATTTTTTTTCACTAATTTATGTATGTTAGTTGTCTATTATTTTGCACTTCCAACTTCGATTGACTTTGCTTTGTAGGAATGAGAGACACTTGGATTTTGTCAGCTGGTACGACCAGCCGAAAGAAACAAAATTGGTATATGCACCCTGGGACTCCTGAAACTCCTGGAACTCCCGGGACTCCTGGGACTTCTGGGGCCCTGGGCCCACTTGGAATTTTTTTCCTCGTACGTGTTTTACGTTCGAGGAAACTTTTTTACGTTCATCAATCGTTCGAGGCAGAGAGAATTGAGTAAAGTAGAGGCTCAGTTCTGGGGGTTCGAGTAACCCCAGAGGCATCGTAGTACTGCACCCCAAGAGAGGGAGGGCGACACACGCAATGCTCGGGTGTTTTTTTTTTATTAATAACTCTGAGCTCTTCGATGCCTCAGATTCCACTGACTGGAATTTTTGACGAGCTGATTTCAAAGCCTCCGACTGCTGATTATTTGTGTTTCAATGAATTAACAGTTATTAAAAATATCTTCACAAATTTGTCAGTGATGTTTAATTGATTTACTTCAATAATTTAATTTCGTACTTACCATTTTGGGCGTAGATATAAAATACGACATAAATTTGAGGCCCGGGTGGATTATTTGGGAAAGATTATTTACTCTGAAATTTGGACTGCTAGTTACTCCGGAAATTAATCGTTTTTTCCAATAATTGTTAGCTAGCGCCGTAGCGGTTGTCAACAACTAGAGCGCTAGCTAACAATTATCGGAAAAATCGATTAATTG